TGTGCTTTTCTTCTTTCTGAATTGCTCATTTAATCAGATATTTTTTATTAAAAATAACAGCAGAAGTGTATTACTTCTTCGATTTTCGGGGAAAAAACAACTCACCTCACTATTTCACACTTGCACGCTCTTGTCTCGAATAGTATACGAATCCGAAGAAAACAATAATAATAATATAATATAATGTGCTCACCGAGAATGTCAAAGCAAAGGAAAGCGCACTTGTGAGTCTCTAGAATGTGGAAGCCCACACTGAAGAAAACACAACGCACAGTTTGGGAACAGATGTGACAATTGTATCAATTCCAGCGATCCAATCTCAATCTATTTTTTTTTTTCGATATTTATCTAAGTCTTCGACCAAAAACGCGAACATCGATTTATACTTGATGAATGTGCCCATTTTCCTAAAGCTGTCTCCAATCTTTGCCTTCCTAATTTGCATTTTGGTTGTTGTTGTTGTTGTTGTTGTTGTTGTTGTTGTTGTTGTTGTTGTTGTTGCTGTTGTTTTTAGGAGGGGGGTAGAGTTGTGGCTGCAGTATTTTTATAATATGACAACTGCAATAATATTGTGTTTCCCGCTGCATATTAAAGTCGTTTGATTTGCCAGAAAGAGAGAGAGAGAGAGAGAGAGAGAGAGAGAGAGAGAGAGAGAGAGAGAGAGAGAGAGAGAGACAGACAGACAGACAGACAGACAGACAGACAGACAGACAGACAGAGAGACAGACAGACAGACAGACAGACAGACAGACAGACAGACAGACAGACAGACAGACAGACAGACAGACAGATAGGGACAAAGACAGAGAGACAGAGACAGAGACAACTGTTTCACAACTCAGCCGACGGGCTTATTCCGTCGCTGTTCCGTCGCCGCTCACCGCTCCATATGAAACGGCCTTTACTGTGATATTATTATTATAAGGTCTCTTTGACTTTGCATGTGTGTGAGAGGAAAAGAGACAAGGTTTGAGAGGGACGATGGATGAGAGAGAGAGAGAGAGAGAGAGAGAGAGAGAGAGAGAGAGAGAGAGAGAGAAATAGAGAGAGAAATAATTATATAGAGAGAAATAGAGAGAGAGTGAAAGAAGGGGATGGGGATATAAGAGGGTACTGAGTGCGAGAGAACGTGTTTGTGTGTGTGTGTATGTGTGTGTGTGTGTGTGTGTATGTGTGTGTGTGTGTGTGTGTGTTTGTTTGTGTGTGTGTGTGTGTGTGTTAATGTGTACGCCACACGCGTGCGATGTCGTGTGTGCATGAGTGTGCTAGGAACTATAGGTGTCGTAAAAAGATAGAGAGATTTCAATACTTGTAATTGTAGCAATGGAACATTCCGTGGGGGTGAAGTTCTGGTAGATATATAGATTTCTGTTTGGTTTTGAAAACCTTTTCAGAATATTTTTTTAAAAGGCCCTGTGACTTTTTCAACTGGGGAAGCAATATTTTTGATTTACAGGGTGATCCA